TTGATTTGTATTTATTTAAAAAACAGAATAAAATGTGCAACATTTTAATCTCGTTCTATTTTTTGAGCAAAATTTAATGAATTTTACCTTCTTGCTAAAAAAGCACATATGGTTTATGTATCTTACAGTGGAATTAACAGCATAAAATAACAGTTCAGGTATCCCAAACTAGGTTGATTAGAAGCTTATGACTAATCTTTAACCAATTCTGCTAACAATGAAATGTAACAGATTCATCAAGCACCAGTATGGCACGAGAATATTGAGTAATCTCCTCATTTGAATTATACCTATTGTCACAGCACATCTGTGCTTTGCTGTTGTTCTAATCCTAAACCTTGTGCATGTCATTATCATTAATGCTGAAAAAAATGCAGCAGATATTGACCCCCAAAGTAGTGACTGAAGTGACATGCTATCAGTCAGTCAGGTATTTCCATACAACTTAATTGCATCACATGAATTAAGATATACACTTACCAACCACTTCTTTAGATAAAACTATTCACCTGCTTGTTCTTGCAAACTTTTAATGTTATCACCCAATAACATGGCAGTAACCCAGTACATTTAGCCATGTAAACATGGGCATAAGCATGAAGCTCAAACTGAGCATCAGAACGAGGGAGAAATGTGTAGTGTGCGATGAAAGTTGAAGTGGCTTTGATCGGTTGGTGGCAGATGGCCTGATCTGGAATAGCAGAAACTACTACTACTGGGGTTTTTTTTCTCACAAGCATCTCTAGAGTTTACAGATAATGGCCTGAAAAAGAGAGAGTTATACAGTTTAATGCATTTTTAGCATATATATTGTCAATTAAATAAATTGAAAGGATAAAAGAAGAAATGCGTGTGTGTTTGCGTGTGACCATTATGTGTGTCACACTGTCCCTGCTCAGAGTTTTCACTTTCCTGTTCTGATGTTTGACCTTCCTCCACCTCACCCCTAGACAGCAGTAAAATTCACTCCCTTTCCATAGTTTGGAGGAAAATCCTTTCTGCCTCATCCTGTCCTCTGATTCTTGCAGTATGGACATGGTTGAAAAAGTGAAGCAGTAAGTCCTGCTGTTCAATACAAAACAGAGGGACTAAAATAAAAATTTCTGAAATCCTACTAAATCAAAGTTATGACTCTCAAATTGAAGAAACAATTTGAGGTTAATCATTTGTGGCCATAAAATGTGGAAGCTACAATTCACACGGAGTCACAAAAATTTAACAATAGATTGGAAAAATGTTGTCTTGTCTGAAGAGACTCAATTTCTGTCGCAACATTTGGATGGCAGGGTCAGATTTGACATGAACAACATTAAAGCATGGCTCCATCCCGCCATGATGGATCTGTCAGTGGTTCATGTTGGTGGCAATGGTGTAACAATGGTGTGGGGAAATTTTCTTTGCACACTTTGGGTCCCTTAGTTTCAACTGAGCACATTTCAATGCCATGTCACAAAGCTCAAATAAAATGATGTCTTCAGGGTGAAAGTACGTTCATTATCCTCAAATGTCTTCCACAGTCAACAGATATCGCACCTTTGGGATGTTGTTGAAAAGGAGATTCACATCATGGATGCAGGAATTTCTGCCACCGGGAATTACGGTCATTCTAAAGACAAAGTGAACAAAGCCTGGGTGTACTAAAAAACGCTACCTATGGGTTTGAGTAGATAGCATGTATAAAACTCAGAAACAGGTAACAGCATGTCAGTTTTTTCTGTTCAGTCATTATTCCACATGAGGACAACTGCCATTCAGCACTCATTAAACACATTACCACTGAAAACCCCCTTTAGCTGCTGGACATTATAATAAGTTCAACTCACTTGTGTTTACAGTCTACCCCAGTCTGCAGCAACATTGCTCCTTCCCATATTCTACAATCCTACAAAGCCAAACTGTTTCTCTTATATTCAAACAGAAGCAATCAATAACCAGTAATCAACAGAATACAAACTGGCAGACTCATCTCCATACACACTCAGCAGACCAGGAAACCAGTTATACAGAGACAGGGTGCAAACATCTTATTTGATTGTGACTCATTGCATCTTGATTTTGTCACATCTAGTGATGCATATGCAAAGTGAGACATCCAAATGCTCCTATGAAAGAAAGACAGAGGTCATTTAAAAAGGTTTAGGTGCTCATGATTGAGTTAAATAATATTCAAAGATAACATTTTTGCTGTTTGGTCTCTCTTAGACAGCAGTTGTGTTTGGCTTCCCAGACATTCATATATAGAGCAAGGCGATGAGTCATCGTTTTGCATAAGGCAAGGGCATTTGTAGCCTGGACAGTAGAACTCTAATGAATCTTTTCTCTGTTCCCCTTTTCTTTATCTTTCTTCTTCTGTCCCTCCCTTTTGCTGGGCTCAGCTTAAACCCTGTCTCTGCATCCTTACAAAGTCACTCAACTGGATAAAGTCATTTACCTGAATGAAGAGGAGCGGAGGGAGCGAATAGGCAGAGAGCGGGGAAGGGTGGGGGTACAAGGTACAGAGGAGGTCTGATATTGTAAGCAGAATGTAGAAAAATGAAGAAACCAAAAAGAGGAGAAATGACAGGTAAAGAAAACTGAGAGTGCTGAGCTGTGAAGCAAGTCTGGATACTTTAATAAGACAAAATAAGATGTTTGTTGTTCCCACCTGTTTATTTATGGCCCAGGACTCCAGAAAATAGAAAAAGGTGATGGTCAAAGAGGCAGAGAACACGCAGAAGAAAGATAAAGGAGACATAGTCAAAGTCGGGATTAAACAGAAATTAGGAAGATCATTGATTTATGTTGATTTCAGTTTGGAATAAAATTAATTGCAAAGTAGATTACATTTTGACTAAATGAAGTAGCAGGACTGATCATGGGGGATATAACTGTGAATATCACAGAAATATATGATCCCAACTGGCTCTAGTCAAGTTTGTGTGGGTTTGTACTTCTGGATTTTAAAGGCACACAAGCCCAGCATTTAAACTGAAACCAGAAGCACATACAATAAGTTAAGAAACTCTGTTTTGTCTCATTATAACATTATCCCCTATATTCATCAGTCATCCTTCATTATTGTTGTTGTTGTTATCAAATGCTTTGTGTTCTTTAATGTCTAAGAACAGAATTAGTTTGCCCAAAGGCAACCCCCCGAACCATTAGTCTGGGGATGATTTAGCATTTCATTAGCTTTTTCACATTTATTTGCATTTGTAAACAATGGCTTAAAATCCACACATCCATTATTCATATTCTGGACCTCGTAGTAACACCACAAAGGCCTGAAAAAATTCAAACAGTGTGCTTTCAGCAATCTTGCATTTCATTATTTAGCGCATTGTTATGAGATTAACCCGAATCTCTAAGAACAACTAAAAAAATTGGTTTTGACAGAATAACAACACACATTTCAAATTATGGACTTTTATAGGTTGTTTCTTGTCAACAGTGCTCACTTTGAATTAAGTCTGGATTCTTCATTTTCAGGCACAGTGGTAATGTTACTCCGGGGATGGCCTGCCCCACCACTTTCCCACAGACTGAAATGCTGGAGAGCAATAAAACATTCTTGGTCACCATCCTCCAACTTTTTATCTAATGCCAAAGATCTTAAAATGTTCATAAGTCCAGTTTGTCCTTTCATGACTCGATATACATGTAAGCAATCAAATCTACATGGTTACCATCTTCATTTTTGTGAACTCTGATAAATGCTAACGCACTAAACTAAGGTTTGTAAATATTGTAAATTATACGCGCTTGACATCAGCATCATAACAGTGAACATGTGAACTGTTGGTAGCTTTGAGCTCAAAGCGCCAATGTGTTTCAGTGCAGCCTCGCAGAGCTGCTGGCATGGCTGCAGACGTGGAACATGCATATACAGCACACAAAAGCTTTTATCCTTGAACACTGCTGTCCTGGTGATTAGCTTTGTCACCTCAGACTTCATATGCAACATGACAGCGTATGGTACAGTGGCATGTCACGAAGTGGCACGGTGTCACAGTCTTTTGTTACGTAAAGGTGCGTCCTCCTGCTGACATAATAAAATGGCTTTAAAAAAATCTGTCCATGTATTCATTATCTAATCCCTTAACTGGAAGTTTAAGTTAAACATGCAGATATTGTAATATTTTAATCTGTAGATGAAGACATAAATAACTGTAGCTTGTCTAGAGAGGGGGCCATCTGTATCACAGTGATCTGTCACTGCTTGATCCCTCTCTCCACCGGAAAGTGCTAATCATCACCTCGCTCCTTTTGTTAGAACTGTTCATCCAGTGCAGTGTGGATGATTCTAATTTTCTCGCCTCATTGTCTTTAATCAGGTGTATTAATCACATTTGTTATGATTTATGAGGGAGGAACAGCTGCTACACTGATTCCTTGGTTAGTTGGTATGCCCAGTACGTTGATTTACTCCCTCTCTTACCTTCCACTAATGATCTGACAATGGAAAATAACCTACTGCTTGTTTAGAAATCCATAGCTATAGTTTGTTTTCATTTCATATACACACAGTGATCCACCTGGGCCCTCCCTCTAGTTTGTTTTTCTTTAGTAATTGACCTTGACTGTAATGGAGACCTTTAGCTAAGAAGGTCGATCAGCCGTGAGCCGTAAAGATACCGACTACCATGATCAGTCTTTACAGGTTATTAGTCACAGTCCTGATGTGATTAACATGACTGCGCTTTTATGCTATATCTCTCCAGTCTTTCCCTCTAGTCCTTGAACCCCGATGACAATGTGACACCTCACTTTAGTTTGTGAAGTCACACGTTCTGTAAATTTCACCAGGAGCTTGCACACTCATTCAGAAACACAGCAGGAAAAAAATACATTTAATGTCTGACACAGTGCTGCATGAAGTCTACATTCCCTGACAGTGATGATAAAATGTACAGACACACTGCAAACTCATGATTTTTCTTTTTTTGTTTGGCTTTTTATTAATGTTTTGGTTGGTTTTCTATGCCTACAGGAATCACATGCACGGTTAAAATCAATCTCTCTTTCACTTTTTCCACAGTTTTACTGATAAGCTGATCTGGTGTCAAATGACAGACGTTCTTCTCTGAGATAAAAGGGTCTTCGTGAAAACATGGTGTGTAACATATTCCACAAACATGGCACTCCATTAAAAAAAATGCCAAATGAGTTTCCTTCTCTGACAGTTTTCTGACAATATGCACTCCCTGGTAGATTAAGCAGTCTTGTTCTCTGTGCAGGTTTTCCTGAATGTAAAATATTAAGCAGGGGCCGCAGCTTTGGGTAATAACGCTGACTCAGCTTTTCAAATTGGAAATTTGATGGACCTTTACTGTGCGCTTTGGACTTGGTTACTAAGGGTAAATACTAAACAAGTGGGGCTGTGTAAGATAACACGACGGATGGAAAGCATTTCTGCTATGAGGAGATACTTATATACAATATGTACAACACTGCTGAGAAGATTGAAGTATTTAGTTGTGCTGGACGAACAGTTACTTAGATTTAACTGCCTTTGGCTCTGTGCATATCCCAGAGTGAATTCATGGGCTGAACGTGATGAAACTAGCTTTAAAAAACCATCAGTTGTAGTTGTGACAGGTCATGGCCACAGTCTTTGATAAATAAGTTCTCCTGGTAATATCTTCTGTCCTCACACTATGTAGCACTGGATTGATGTTTTGACTGGTTAAACAGCCACGTTGGCCAGTCTGGGGTCAGAGTCCTGCTCATAGCGGTAATGATATACCTCCATCTGGTCACGGCAGGCCTCTCTGATGTTGTTGAGCCACCGTTTGATGCCTCCCCGGTTGAGATAGAGCACCATCAGGAACACCACCCCGATGAGAGCCAACACTATACCAAGGAAAACATATGACACCGCCTCCAGGTTCTCGTTCATACAATCAACCTCCTCTCCCCGGAGATTTTCCACGGGAATCCCCCTCTTAGCCTCTGGCTCGCTGCACAGGAGACGCCCTGCATCCAGGCACTGGGACGAGTTCTTCAGCCAGTAGTAAAACGCCTCCAGTTCACAGCTGCACCGAAACGGATTTAAAGACAAGTAGACGCGTATGCGCCTTTGCTGGTACAAACTGGTTACATTTTCCTCCCCGATGATCTCTATTGAGTTATTAATCAGCACCAACTCGTGGAGGTTAAAGACATCTAATCTCTCGAGGGGGATAGACGTCAGCTTGTTTCCCGCCAACTCCAGTCTGTGCAGGTTGCGCAAACTTTGTGTGTTGAGCGCATCTGAGAGCTGCGCGGTGGCCGCAGGAGAAACGGAGTAATTCAGGTTAAGAGAGCGCAGCTCGGGTAATCCATGGAAAGCCCTGGATGAGATAAACTCCAACTGATTGTGGCTAAGATCCAACGAATGTAACCGGGAAAGCCCCAGGAAGGCGTAAGGTTCAATAGCCTGTATCCCGTTATAGGACAGAGAGAGTGTTGTCATTTCCAACTCCGTGCCGTTGGTCATGAACGCATCACGCTGTAAAGTTGAGATGTTACTCCCCGTAAGTGTCAAGGTGGACGTCCACTTTGGCATGTCTCTGGGTACCTCGGTGTAGTCCCCGTCACGGCAGGTCACCGTCCTCAAGCCCCTGGTACAGATGCAGGACGATGGGCACGCGTCGTCCATCCTTACGGGCGAAAACAACAAACACAACACTGCTGCGTAATACAAACACCACTGGTTCCAAATAGAAAAGATACACTTTGAATCGTCCGAACTGTAAAAGATCCACATCTTCTCCCTCTTTCCCCCCCTCCTCTCAAAGCAGGAATATGCCGATGGGTGTTGCAAAGAAGGTGACCGATCCTCTCACAGGCGTGTAAAGTCGTGTCAGTCCGACGTATTGCCTTTACTTGGAGCAGACGGGATAGAAATAAACGGCTTTCTTCATTGTCACCTTGGAGTCGTGTTTTTCTGCAGTAAAGATGAGTTTTGTTTGAGATTTGCACGCATGAGAACGGCTGAAGACGGCCAAGTGTGAAGTGTGGCTGCGTGGAAAGCTTCTGATCCGCGCTCCCTTGGTGGTATTTTTGACGTCTGTCACAGAGAGGGGGGGGTAGAGGGGAAGAGAGAGAGAGAGAGATGCACGGCAAGCTTAATGTTCTTCTGAGCCCTCTTCCTTCAGAATTTATTGTATTGCTAAAAAGGGAATATGAAGAAGAATAGATCACGAGTCCCTGAAAATGGTTGGCATCATTGGAAGGATGGACTTTAATGTTAATGTTAGCTTTTCTTCCTGAAGAAATACTCTCTTAAATGCTCACCAGTGAAAAATCCTCAGTACCAAAAACAAAATATTAATGTTCATAACAGTAATAATCAGAACTGTTCATTGAATCCATGAAGCTCATTCTACAAATTTTAAATGGGGCACTGTTTACCATTACTGGATAGCTGTACAGTCATTTATCTCCAAGGCTATTGGTTATTTTCCCCTCCCCATTTATGCTGTTTCCATTATTACATCATTATAGGCTTGAATTACATTTTGCGTTCATTGCAAATGAGTTGCTGTAATTATGCCTGGGTAGTGCAGAATGTTTAATGGGGCCTTGGTCAGTTCCTTCCAATTAATCAATTTTCCACAAAAGAAAACTCACTTTTGGAGAGTTGGTCACGCTCCCCACGTCTACAGTACAGAGTTGGCAAACAAATCAATAAGCCTGAATAAATAAGCAGCTCCTAAATCAGAGTTTGGCATTGGCCTGTGATGCTGGAGTGACATGCGGGACTGATCGGTCATTTTGTCTTATTACTTACCCAGAAACCAGAGGATGAAACAACTGCTGTTTACATTTATTTCTGGGACTAATGAGGATGAAGTGAATTATACTCTAATTACGCAGTAAGGAATCTGGAAACATTAGTCCTAGGGTACCATGGCAGAATACATTGTTCAATGTAGCTTCTATATTAAGCAGAAACTGTGCAACTGTGCCAGGAGTATTTATTCTTCAGTCATAATTATGTGTTGGTCAAAAGGTTAGTCTCTGTGTTTCTAGAGTTAATAAACAAACTACAGCTTCAGCACCCTGGACAGCTCCACAGAGCAATACTTGACTCTAAGGGATATTGTGTTGTTCTGTGTTCAAAAGGATGTAGCCTACGTTGAAATGATCAAAGGAAGGAGAGAACAGAGGAGGAAAGAGGTTTATTCAATTTTAAATGTTAAGAAACTAAAGATCTAAAGATGAGGAAAAGGGGAAAGTCAGAGACTGCCCAGGGGTCAGTAGCATGGATGCCTCCATACAGCGGAGCACTGCAGTAAGTTCTGTGGGCACAAACAAAGAAGGAAAGTGAGGGCAGGAAAAAAAGAAGAAGAAGAAAGAACTGGAGAGCAAAAGAAACAGAAAAATGACAAACTAGGGCAGAGAAAGAAAGAAACTCTAGTAGCATTCACTCTCCCACCTGCTGCTGTTTCTAATGTTCATTACATCCGTCACAAATTTACAACAACAGCCTATCAACAACATAAAAGTTTAAATCAAACTTTGGCTTTCTTTTTCTTTGTGTGTGTGTTTCTGTTCTTATACAGCAAAACATGTATCTGTAATCTCATTTTGATTGTAGTCTTATCCTAACATTTGGACTCTGGCTGCGGTGATGTGTGTTCACTGCTCATCAGTTCATCTCAAGCCACTGGATGAGACTGACAGCAGGGCTATACATGACTAGAATCTTTCACACCAGTCTTAGACAGCCAGTTCTTCGTGGACTTGGTTTGACTCTTTCTCCAAACTGACGCATAGTTGAAACCACACTCTTGCCCAAAACAACACTATGCACTTTGATATAGAATTTTACATAAAATGGAAATAAGTGTAGAAAAAAACAAACAAACTCCAGTTTAAAAGTAAATTAGATTATCTGAGCAAAAGCATCTGCATAGAAATTGTGTTAGTGTAAATACAATCTATTGATTATGATTGATTTTTTTCCCCTAAGTAAATAAAATTCAGTATAATATTGGTATTGATCTTTCCTCAAACCTGGCAAGAAAATTAGATTCTCAATTTGTGATTTCACTAAATTACAAATTATTCATTTAAGGACAGTTGGAAGACTGGTGCTTATCACAGAGACCACAGCACCGGAGGGGAGTCTGGAGCTGATTGCAGTGCGCTGTCATTCTCAAGAGCACTCCATCAGCAACAAATGGACACAACTGGTTATGGTGGGGATGTAAATATAGACAGAGGGAGAGGGAGAACAAGAAACCGAGACACAGAAACAACAGGGCACAACGAGATAACAAATGTTGGAAAATGGTCTTACTGCTGTTGCTGCTGATAAGCAGAAATTAATGTCAGGTTGTTTTTTTAAAACATAGCAGACAGTATTTCCTCCAAACACACAAGGACATCTGTTCAATCCTCCTCTTATCCTCTCAAGACCTCTTTGCTTCCTCCACCACCTGGGTGTCCACTCTATCTGCCAGAGCTGAGAGCTGATTTAGTGGTGGCTGCTGTTCACAGGCTGCTGCTGGGATACGGTGCCCTCACCATGCTCTTTAATTTGACACTGAACCTCGTAATTGATTTTCTCAAGGCTGCCCATCCCTATCTCCTGACTACAGTAAGAGAGTATGTGTGTGTGTGTGTATCTGTAAACTTGAGAGTGAGTGACCAGTTTTGGTCTAATCCTCAGGTGTGTCATTATTTCTGACAGGCCCGGCACACATGCTAAATTAGCAGAAGCTTACTGCTGTCCTGTGTATGCATTATGCAAACCATTGCACATGCTGCAATTACATTTGATCACATGCATTGGTGGCTGGATACTTTTTATGATCTTGAATTGCTCTGTTTATTCGCTTCAAACGGTTTCTGCATTTACTTTCTCATTTTGGATTTCTCCTTCATCCCACCTGCATCATCCGTCATTCATTAACCTTGAGTTAAGAGCCAACCTGATCTTTCCTTCATCCTCCAGCTGGCACATGACTGACACATGCCGCACTTACTCATAATTACATATTATCCAAACAAGCCAAGTAAAGGACACAAGTGTGTGTATCTAAAGCAGGTGAGCACTGTAAAAACAGTCCACTAAGTCTGAGGGTGTCAGTTGGTTTTTTGGTGCTTAGATTTCCTATCATGACTCAACACAGCATCTCATCACATCAAAGACATTACCTGCACCTTGATCATCTCTCTGGCAACACACAGAGAGAGGATACTGTGAGAAGATGCAACTATAAAACTATTATGTTGCTTAAAATCTCCTGGTTCAAAACTGGCCTTTGTGAGAGTAAATACAATCAGCCCACATAGAGTGTCCAAACCAAATCGTCACCTTGTCTGTG